CACCACACGTCTCCATGTGACACTCAAACTGACTTTCCTCGAGTTGGTGCCGAAGACGGATAAATCTGCATTCCCAGTGTGCAATTTCGCTATATTTCATTGACTCATAGAGCCTACAAGATGTTTCAAAATAAACATAAAAATACAGTTGAAATTCCTATATGCGTTTCTTTTTTGGGAGAGTATATATGTATACAACAGTTACTCAACAAAGTGAGTTTCGGATGGATGTATGGAAATAACAAATCCCTTTCTATTATTGAGTAAAACCTAAAGGAAAATCAATTGTTTACCGGAAACGCACGGGAACATGTGCTGTGAGTAAAGATTTCTTCACACATTACAATTGTCACTGACGCGTCACGAATGTTATGAAACTACTGGCACTCATAATGTGGAATCTGACAGTTGTAACACGTCTGTGTAAGACGTCTGTGAATAAGAGGAACCTTCCCGGCTGGTCCTAAGTGATATTTGGAAAATATTTGATGAAGCTTTAATGAAGCTTTGAATATTGACTTTTGTGTGCTATGTAACACCATCATTAAAATAATGAAGGTTGGCATTGTTGTTGAGAACTACTTAACATTTAAACCTTACGAAACTACTTAACATTTAAACCTTACGAAACTACTAAACATTTAAACCTTACGAAACTACTAAACATTTAAACCTTACGAAACTACTTAACATTTAAACCTTACGAAACTACTTAACATTTAAACCTTACGAAACTACTTAACATTAACCTTACGAAACTACTTAACATTTAAACCTTACGAAACTACTTAACATTTAAACCTTACGAAATTACTTCCACTAACGATGTGTAATCGGACAATGAAAAACATGATATCCTAAAGGAGAGAAAGAGATGGCAAGTTATGTTGCTATTTGCATGATTTTACATCAACATCATATCACTGTGTTGTATTCAATGATTTCGTAGTCAAGTGAAGCTTTAAGATGTATGACAAAATCTATTTATAACACACTGTTTAGAACAAAAGCATATGTCTAAGACCAATGGAAGGTATTGGTTATTTTTATTACAGAAAGAAGACACGACTTATTTGTGTTCTGCCATATCGAAGAAAGGCATCCATGGCAAAATAATATATGTTTTATCAGATATGTGTTCCGAGGTAATTGCCTAAAATCTCAAGCAATTCATTTTGTTCACTACTTTGACACTTTTAGTTGTGTAAAATTGGGGTTGTCGATATTTTTCTCTCTGTGGTTGATTTGTGGGTATGTTACACGTTAATGTTACAGTGGTTTTAGTGGTCAAGCATTCCTCAATGCGTTGTTATTGTTATATGCAGTTTACAAAGAAAATGTTACAAGAGTAATTAATGCATTGCACGGACATTACTTGTAAAATACATAAGTTTCGGAATTTGTAATTTGTACTCTACTAAGAAAGCGTAATCCAAAATATAACTTTTGTAAATTGACACAAAGATTTAAAGATTGTAATCAATAGGACTGGTTTTCAAACGTTTGTTTAATTGTGAAAGCTATGTTGTACTCAATAACATATTGACTGACTGAATATGTTTTTTCTCCGCTTTGAGCAATATTCCAGCAATATCACGGCGGGGGACACCAGAAATGGGCTTCATCAATAACATCCATCACTTGTAACAGCTGAGGGGCTGTGGGGTAGCCTAGTGGTTAAAGCGTTGGCTTGTCACGCCGAAGACCCAGGTTCGAATACCCACATGGGTACAATGTGTGAAGCCCATTTCTGGTGTCCCCGCCGTGATGTTGCTGGAATATTGCTAAAAGCGGCGTAAAACCAAACTCAGTCAGTCAGTCTAACAGCTGAGCATAATGTATGTACATTCATGGTCGTGAATCTGGACAACTTGTCTATAAGGAGTTTGGGAACTACCGTTAATGCTAGATGCTTAAAGACGATATGGTGTTGCTCACTGTAATCAACTCTGTCAATTGTGTATGCTGTTAAAATGATGGTATGTACCTTTTCACACTGTTTTTTCCATATTTCACAGACTGCAGGCCAGAATATATGCCTAACTTGCTAACTATCACTGTATTGTATTACTTAATTATAACACGTAAACAATAACCAACATGTCCTCCATTTGTCACGTTTATTACCAGTATCATGCATTGTAAGTGAGAAGATTGAATTTCACACTGATGATTTGGGTAATTTACAGGCTGAACACTACTGGCGGACACCAGAAGTTGACTTCTTGCATTAGAGTTCCACGCAGGCAATTCAAATGCGTTCCATTCCTTTAGAAAAGCGTATCTGGAGTTGCAACAGGGCTTACTCTTTTCACACGATGTTCAGATGCTGAAGAGCAGCATGCTGTAGTTGTCAGTTGTTCAGTTATTCAAACACACATAGCCAAATAGTGAGTGAGTGAGTTACGATTTTGAGTCACATTGGCAATATTGCAGCCACATCGTGACTATAACAATATATATTGTATTAATAAAGAGAAGTTATTTTGTAAAATTTGTCAATAAAGGACAGTAAAACAACTAGGCTATCACAGATAGAAAGTAAAAACTAGTATGTAAGCATAAAAACATGTATTACAATACAGGACAATACAATATAAAACCGGGCTATAGATCACCAACAACTGAAGGTAGATCACCATACTAGGGATAGTGTTGGGAATTGGTGTTAATCTCATAATTGATGATTGGTTCATTACAACCGATCAATCATCGAAAATAATTGGTTAGCGTCATATATCAAATTTTCCTGGTTATGTTTGTTAATGCACAAAAAATAAAGAAAAAACATGCAGTTCTCTCGTGTTTTTTTCGCAAATTGCACAAAATGCATTTGCAAATTTCACATTTTTAAAGGATGACTAGTGTGTTAGGAACATACATTTCCTGGAGTTGTTAAGATAAACTACGAGCTTGTAGTGCTTATGCAATGTCGAGACAAAATCATTTTTTTGAAAAATATTATTATTGCAAACAAGTGGTCCAAAATTGTTTGTGTTCGATTATGAGAAAACATGATCGATTGCTTGGTCGTTTTGTCATTGCGACCAATCTTCGATTATTTCAATTAATCGGACCACCATTAACTAGGGACGATTGGGAACTTAAGTACCTTTGCTACCTACATGGACCCGAGCTGGATTTACATCATTCCTTCACATGTTGTTTGCACAATTTAACCATGCATTAAAAAATACATATATACTTCGATTAAAATCACGGACAATGAAAAATACTGTGAATGGACTTACATACCCTCTCCGGGGGACAATAATTTTATGCTACTTCAACCCCCTTTGAAGGTACAGCCACTAACAATCCAAATTATTTATCCATTCTCACAAATTAAAATTCATATGCTAATAACGATAAAAATTTATCAAGTAATTCAATTTCTTTTAAAAACTCAATACTTAAATGAACATGTACATTATTATTAAAGAGATCCTTCATCGTTTTTACTTTGAAATACTTGTCCCTTGTGATGGAAAAATCAATACAGTCAAGCAGGACATGCTTGAGATAGCCAAATAGAAATGCCAATTTAGATATCTCTAAAAAAATAATAATCATGAACATATTGAAATAGTTGAGATTGCATTTTCCCCTGACTCTTGCGTTCATTTCAGTTTTGAATTCAGTATTAACTTTGACGATGATAATGATATAACTCTCCTGACAATGTGGGCTTCCCAAGCCGGTAGTTCTATTAACTATATACCAACAACAGACCAATAGCGGCAGTATTTCTAACACTTATATAAGTGGTAGATCCCTTGTACCATACATACATCAGAAAGTCCACATGTAGTATCACTGTAATCGCACGGTCAAGATAAAAAAATATGTAACATCTGTCACATACGTCAACATGTATGACATTCGTCAAATATTACAAATCATAAGTTTTCTTCTGGGACAATGTAAAGAAAGCATGTAAAAAATACTAGTAGTTTACAAGAAGAGATAAAGTTGTCACCTAACAAAGTGAGATAAGGAAAGATGAATACAAAATGACAAATGCCTTTACTTTATCAAGTAAAACAACAAAGGCAAGTCAATTGTTCATCCGAAAAAGCACTGGAACATGTGCTGTGAGTGAATATGTGGATTTGCATCAAACATCATAACTGTCACTGATGTGTCAAAATATTCAACATGTCACTAAACAAATCAACCAAGTTAATGTGGCTTTCTCATCCTTACGGGGTATCCATTCACAGCTGGGTGGACTTGGACACATAGTATAAGTTTTACAGCATGTTGCTGTACCCGCAACTAGGTGTTTGCACGTATTCATGTTGCCACCATCTGGTCATTTACCAACGGATTCGTGGGTTCTTTTAGGTGCACAGGGTTGTGTACTGTACACTAGGGGTTGTGACAACACTGAAAGAGTGGGCTCGATCCCGACACCTCCAAGCTCGCTGGATCACTAGCCAGGCGCTAATGAAATACATAAGGCCCTGTCAAGTTAGCAGATGATGTAACATACGTCAGAGTGAGTGAGTGAGTTAATATTTATCGTCACATCGGCAATATTTCAGTGAAGAGAAGAATTAATTATTGTATTATAGAACAAGAAAATTAGAATTATAAGCCTGTTGACGAAGAACAGTAAAACTACCAGTGTATCATAGATATTAAAGTAAAACTAGCATGTTGTCATAAAACGAGTATTTTTTTAAAGAGAACAATACAATATGAAATGAGTGAGTTAAAATTTAACGTCACCTCGGCAATATTTCAGCCATATTACAATATATGAAAACAAGCTATAGATTGCCAACAACTGAAGGTAGATCACCATACTAGCAACATACACGTCAGATGTTACAAATCATGTTTCGGAACAAGGTATTGCTTATGTAAAAATATAGTTCATAAATACAGATATGTGCTGTGAGTGAAGATTTCTTCACACATTGCAATTGTCACTGATGCGTCAAAACACATAGTAGATGCAAGAAAAACATCCAATGTCAGCAAAAAGTTGTCCATCATAGAGATACGCTAATGAAATATATAAGGTTAATGAGAGCCGTGAGTGTGAAGAACGTTCCAAATGCCATTCTGTTGTACTTGGTGAGTATTGCATCCTTCATTTCTGACTTCTTGTTAGCTTTGTCTTTCACGTCCGATTTGTTTGGAGAGACATCGTCAGTCTGTAGTTTGGTTGTTTCAACTTTGTTGTCTGATCCCCATGCGTTTGGAAGCCATCTTGGTCTGACCTCGCCCCTTTGAAGATTTGTGTGAAGTAACTGCATGAAGATTGTGACGAGACACGTGAGTGTGCTGATCAGTACAAGCAGGGTGACGTAGACACTGAAGAAACACAGGTGGTCGGAGTTCGCTGGTAGGTAGGAGTTGATGAGATTGAGAAACATGGCATATGACAACAGGATGGAGACACACAGTGACACCTTCTCACCACTCTCCTCGGGCAACAGGAATACGAAGATATTAAGAAAGGAAAGGAACACGACAGGCAGGATGTTGTTGAGGATGTAGAAGGTGGTTCGTCTCTTCAGGACAAGGGTAACTTCTATCCAGTTATGAGATTCATTGAGAAGGGTGTATTTCTGCCGTGTGATTGATGCACTGAGAAGGTGAAATTCTCCGTTTTCCTGATATGTTTCCAGATTTACATACGAGTCGACTACGTTCAGATATTCCTTACTTGCAGGAGCATAAAATGTGTCAAAGTGAAGATTACATGTCTGACGATCGAAAGGAAACTGTTGGATATTGACCTTGCATCCTGTGTCAAACCTACCTATGTAGTTATATATAACTGTACCATCCTGATAGATAATCACCGTGTCCGTTTCATATTTTAGGTACCTCATATTCGTCACAGAATCAATATTTACTACGGTTGGAGACCATACATCCGCCAAGGGCATAGTTACAAGAACGGGAATGTCATTCGCTGTGTTCCACACCAAAAGCTGGTCCTTCCACACCATAACAGCATATGCTTTAAAGCTGAGCACTTCCTGTTTTTCGTCCAGAGCATAAATTGAGTACAGTCCCATGCTGATACTCACTGTCGTATTGGAACCGTCCAACACTGGGCGGATCTTCCGGTCGTAGTTCCAGGTGAGGTTGGCCAGGAAATCTTTCTCGTTGTAGGAAACAGAGGCCAGAGTGCGGTGACAGAGGAAGAGGATGAAGACACTCCTATGTATGGCAGACATATCCAAACAAGCACAGCCTCAGTGCAAAGGAGATTCAGTCTTAGGAATGATTCAAAGCGTTTTAAATATATTATTAGTCTCCAACAGCAACGAGCAAAGCAATGCCCGTTTGATCATTAGTTGTATTTCTGTGATCCATGGTCATCTGAGTAGCTCTCTCAATTTGATTTTGCATCGTTAACACTAATTGCCATTACAATGTTGATGTTTCGAACAGACTGTGTAAACCCTGACTAAGAAGAACCTTCCCGGCTGGTCCTAATTGATGTTTGGAAAATATTTGATGAAGCTATACATATTGACCTTAGTGTGCTATGTCACACCATCATTGAATTCTTGAAGGTTGGCATTGTCGTTGAGAATTACTGGACATTTAACCCTTAAAAAAACTACTTCTTTTAACGATGTGTAATCGGGCAATAACAAACATGATATTCTGAAAGAGAGAAAGAGATGCATGCTATATTGTTATTTGTGTACTTTTACATCAATATCATATCACTGAGTTGTATTCAATGGTTCCATTGCATTACAGTCCGTTTGAGTCAGAAACGGACCGATGAATTGCAAATTTTATCATTGTACAAAATTGCCACATAAATATAAATAGTACACATGTTTATCATTTACTAATACCCAACAGCTTTCTAATATTTGAAACATTTCCGGAAAAGTTGTTTAAGAAACTATCATCATTGAAAACGCAAAAGTCGTTATCTGTCGCGACGGGGTAAAACCGGCATAACCAATAGTTGGTTTAATTTGATGTTATTTATTTACACCACTTCAGTTTCCGACTTCTTTTGTGTCAAATCCTGGATGTAACTTCTAATGACTGGTTTATAGTCGTTGTAGGGAATGAGAAATAGTGTCACATAATTGTTGAGTGCCGCTTTAGCAGAAGCAGCCACAGTGTCCAGAAATTCTTACTTGGCGGGGTAACCAACAGAAAACGATGTCGCACTGTCCAGAAGCAAATGATGGGTTATGTAATGGTACAATGCACTGCCGATGACAAAATAGTTCACAAAAACAGATACACAAGTAACAAATTGAGGTAAGGAAAGATAAATGCAAAATCTTTTCAATTTTGAAGTAAAACATCAGATTCAAATGAATTATTCATCCGAGTGAGTGAGTGAGTTAATACTTAACGTCACACCGGCAATGTTTCAGTAATATCGTGACGAGAACAAATTTGACGTTGATATTGAATATGTGTATATTATAAAACCTGTCGTCAAAGTACAGTAAAATAACTGGACTATCACAATTAGAATTAAATCTGGTATATAAAGGTAAAACTAATATCACTGTTTGGACAATACATAATATAAAAACAGGCTATAGATTGCCAACAAATGAAGGTAGATCACCACACTAGGAACTTGTTTATCCTAAAAAGTACTGGAACATGTTCTGTGAGTCCATCACACATAATAATTGTCAACGGTGCGTCAAAACACATACAACATATCACTAAACACATCTACTGACCAATAACATGAATTCCGCGTGAACTAAGCAGTGACAGTAATCCCATCAGTAGGATACGTTTATGAAAAATATCAGGTTAATGAGAGCTGTGAGTGTGAAGAACGTTCCAAATGCCACTCTGTTGTACTTGGTGAGCATTGCATCCTTCAATTCTAACATTTCTGCTTTGTCTTACACGTCCGATTTGTTTGGACAGACATCATCAATCTGTTGTTTGTTTTTTCCAACTTTGTTATCAGATCCCCATGCGATTGGCAGCAGTCTTGGTCTGACCTTGCCGCTTTGAAAGTTTGTGTGAAGTAACTGCATGAAGATTGTGAGGAGACATGTGAGTGTGCTGATCAACACATGTAGGGTGACGTAGGCACTGAAGAAACACAGGTGGTCGGAGTTCGCTGGTAGGTAGGAGTTGATGAGGGTCAGGAACATGGCATACAACAGGATGGAGACACACAGAGACATCTTTTTACCACTCTCCTCGGGCAACAGGAAGACAAAGATGTTAAGAAAGGAAAGGAACACGACGGGCAGAATGTTGTTGAGGATGTAGAAAGTGGTTTGTCTCTTCAGGACAAGGGTCACTTCTATCCAGTTACCATTGATGTCATTTATCTGAATTTTGTCAATGCCATTAAGGCACTGAGTTGGTGAAATTCTCCGTTTTCCTGATATGTTTTTCAGATTTACACAAGAGATGGCATGTTATATTGTTATTTGCATAATCCTTCTCTTTGTAGGAAACAGAGCCCAGAGTGAGGTGACAAAGAAAGAAGATGAAGAAACTTCTATGTATGGCAGACATATCCAAACAAGCACAGCCTCAGTGCAGAGCACAAGAAACAAAGTTGCACAGTCTCATTGCAAAGCACAGGCGGTGAGGTGAGGTGAAATTGGGTTTAACGTCGTACTTGAGAATATTTCGCTCATATGACGACGGCATGCGTGTGTATGTGTATGTGTATGTGCGGCTGCTTGTACTAGCCCAGACTGAAGCTGGTTTTATAGTGCTAGCCAACTGAGATACCATGCTGCAGGGAAGCATGAATACCCCACTCAGACACATTATACTGACTCAAGCCGACCAGTCCGTGTTGTACCCATTAATGCCGAGCGCCAGGCAGGGACCAACAAGTACCATATTTTAACGTCTTTGGTATGACGCGGCCGGGGATCGAACTCGCGACCTTCCGCCTCCGGGCAGACGCTCTAACCACTACACCACGGAGGCGGTCTTACTCCCAGAGGGTACATGTAGGCCATCGGCCCATGGTACATACATATCATTGTCCACAGAGTTGCGATATTTACTAGTACAAACACGTTTCATAATTTCAACATTAGTATTGGACAATAAGAAGTTAAATTTATTAATCATAGGGTTTACAAAATACTTAAGTGGTATAAACTGTTTTCTAAGATTACTGTGGGCGTTACGTACAAGTAGAAAATGATATTCATTGTCGATATTACAACTTTTACAGAGTTTTCAAACCCTTTGGTCTCTTGGAATATTACGATACCTTCCCGTTTCGATGTTTAAAGAATGAGAACAACAACGAAAACCAGCCAAAACTGTTCTACACTTATCAACATTTAGTGATAATAAATATGGTTCAACAGTGAAAACAGTCTTAAACTGAGAATACGAGAGCATCTTAGAGTGAGTGAGTTAAGATTATAAGTCGCAGTATTTCAGCCATATCGTGACTATATCAAGTTACATATCAATAATAATTATAGCTAAATTATGAAAAGCCTGTCAACGAAGGACAGTAAAACAACTAGAATATCACAGATATAAATGTAAAACTAGTAATTAAATCTAAAACAGTTTAACTATAGAGGACAACACAATATAAAAACGGGCTATAGATCGCTAACAACTGAAGGTAGATCACCATACTAGGGACCATGGGGACTTACAGTACTTTTGCTACCTGCATGGTCCCTAGCCGGATTTACACCATCCCTTCAGCTGTCAGCAAGTTTAGACAATTTAGCCATAACTTAAAATAACACATATACTGCAGTTAAAAATCATAGTAAGTTTAAATTTACTTGAATTGTTTTGAGACTTACGTACCCTCTCAGGAGGACAATAATTTTGTGGTACTTTAACTCCCTTTGAGGATACTGCCATTAACAATATCAACTGTTTATTTAACTACCAAGTATAAAAGATTTATTTTTTTACACGTACATTGTGTGAAGCCCATTTGTGGTGTCCCCCGCCGTGATGTTGCTGAAATATTGCTAAAAGCGGCGTAAAACCAAACTCAATCAGTCAGTCTTTTAACACAACTTTAATCAGATTTATCTAATAATAAAGTGATTATTAACATTATTAAAAAGATCCTTGCATGGTTAGACATCGAAATATTTATCCCTTGTGATGGAAAAATCAATACAGTCAAGCAGGAGATGCTTTAACGTGATTCTGTCATCTCAAGGAGTACAAAACGGAGGATCCTCACCTTTGAACAGGCATTCATGAGTATATCTAGTATGGCCAATACGACATCGTCGTATAATGACATCCTCAAATCTGGACTGACAACCCAAGTAGGTGTAAACCAATATAGGGCCTTCATGGAATTTATTTATACCTACACTTCCTCTGCATCAGATCACGGACGTAAGTTCTAATGCTAGTTTTGTAATCAGAGTATGGAATAAGAAGTGGTGTCACAGATTTGTTGAGTGCTGCCTTAGCAGCAAGATCGGCCATTGTGTTCCCAGAAATGCCAACGTGACTGGGCAAACAACAGAGGACGATGTCGCATTGGCCAGATCATTATATAATTCAATAATTTCTATTAAAAGGGTATGTTTGCAAGAAAGATTTTTAATCGCCTGAAGGCAAGAAAGAGAGTCTGAAAATATGATATGTTGTTTATATTTAGGATGTTTTAAAAAAAATATATTTGAGAGCTGTTAACATGGCGTTAGCTTCTGCTGTGAAAAAAAAGCTGTTATTTGGTAACCGAGAAGATTTTGTTCTGGATCCAATGATAGTGGCACAAGCTACTGCGCCACCATCCTTGGACCCATCTGTAAATAAGGATTTGTATGTATTATATATATTTCTTAATTGACTTAATTCTTGAATGTTTATACTGTAATTCATTAGTTTCAGACTTTTAATGTGCTTAATGGTAGGTCAACTTGTGGCCTAAGCAATTGCAAAGGAGGAGAACAAAGAAGACGGGATGGAGCTATATTTTCCAGCTCAATGTCGGCAGCAGAAATAAATGGTTGAACTCTTAGCCCAAGAGGCGGAACAGGAGAAGACGTTTTGTTGTACAAATCCTCATTTAGAGGATTAAAGACACAGTTAAATTCAGGGTTAGATTCGTTAGAATATAGTTTGGTAATATATTGTAAAGATAATTTTATACGGCGTTGTAAAGATGAGGCTCATCTGCCTCAACATAGAGACTGTGAACAGGAGAGGTTCTAAAAGACCCCAGGCAAAGTCTTAGGCCTTGGTTGGTCGACGGAAT